GCTTTTGATAAGAAGTTATCATAGAAAGGCACATGAAGAATTACTAATCTTGCATGTTGCTCCTAATAATAGACTACAGATGAACCATCATGCTTGTGCCAAACTATTACCTTGGGAAAAGTTCAAATATACTTTATACACACATATATATATATATATATATATATATATACACATACACATATATATATATACATATACATACACAGTACATACTTCACAATCAGTTTCTTCCAGTGTCACAAGCACAGCACAAGCAATACCAAATGACTTGAGGCAGACACACCTACAATACTTGAGTTATGAAATTCGCCTTACGAAATGCCATACTTCATATTTTGCTTTCATAACACAGCTTTTTAGCAATTTTACACAAATGTAAACTAAATGTATGGCCACTTTTAGAACATTTTCTTATGTAATTTTACTCCAGCATGTGCTTACAAATGAATAACAAATAAGTAATTAAAAAAAAAAAAAAACACTAGAAGTATACAAAGTGTCACAGGCGGAAGGATTAACATTCAGTTTTCAGAAACATTTACCGATTAAATATATCAACTTTAACATATTAACCAGCCCTGAACTGTTAATTTATATGTAAGTGCTATCTAAATGTATAATTTCACACTAAATTATCTATTGCCACACCAAACTATTCTGCCAAACAACAAGCTAGATATGCTAACATGTGCCTCCGATGGATTGACAGCACCATAATATATTAATTTGGATCAGTGATTAATATTACAGCACAGTCTGTTGTTCATGGCAGTGCGGTAGACCCCGGTCAGAGTGTGGTGTAGTGAGCTGTACGGGGGAAGGGTGTGTCGGATTGGGCTTATCTGCTTGATGCACAAGTTCCAGGGGCTCTACAGAGGATATGGAGTGAAAACGGCCCCCTGTTTAAGCCCGTCAGCGCACATGGGCTGCCCACGACCCTCTCTCCCCATTGCTTGAGAAAAAAGTGCTAAATCAATATTATAGAGTGTCTATCGTACAATGGATTGAACCCTGAAGTTGAAATGCTATCACTGTAAAAAAAGGTTTCTTCTTCAGGTAGAGTAGGTTTCTAGTAGCAGTATCATGCATATTTGAATTCGTGGCTAGGACCACTATGTTGATGGTCTGTAGGATAGTTATTGTGTGTATTTGTTGCACTGGAAATGTGTGGCCTTAGGTTTGAGTAGCTTGCACCTGTTAAACCAACGACTAGTGCTAAACAAGATAAACTAGCAATATAGACTTTATAAAATATACTTAACAGCCATACTGAGTTTGAAATGACAGCGAAATAACCCTTGAGATGTGAATTATTCAGGATATCGACAACACTGTAGAAGCGACTAGTTTATATAACTCATTTCATTCATTTCTCCTTCACGTGTGGAGACACAGCAACTCCTATTCTTAAAGTACACCACTGTTCAAAAGTTTGGGGTCAGTAAGATTTTTTTTTTACATAAAAAAACACTTTTATTAAGCAAGGATGCATTAAATTGAAAAGACTTTCACAAAATATCTATTTCAAATAAATTCTTAATAAACGTTTTTCCAAAATATTGAGCAACACAACTGTTTTCACTATTGCTACTAATAATAAATGTTTCTTGAGCACAAAATTAGCATATTAGAATGATTTCTGAAGGATCATGTGACACTGAAAACTGGAGTAAAGGATTCTGAAAATTCAGCTTTGCTGTCACTAAATAAAGGATATTTTAATATATAATAAAACAGAGAACATTTATTTTAAATTGTAATCATTTTACACAATATTACGGTTTCACTGTATTTGTGACCAAATAAATGCAGCCTTAGTAAGCAGAAGAGATTACTTTCATTTTGAAAATCTTACAGATGCCAAACATTTGAACGGTAGTGTAAGAAATGAGACAGCAGTGAATCATTCATTAAGCAAAAAAGATGCTTCTCATTTCCTTAATTGTCCATCCACCTTACCTTTACTTGCATTTTTAGCTCTTTTAATCTTAAGCTCTTAAGGACGTGAGTATGAGATAAAAGGATGGAGGAATCAAAGCAAAACGGAATTTGGTGTTCACTCGAGCATTACATCAAACTGACATTTATGCACAGCTATAGTACTCTAAAAAAATACATGTGCTTCAGGTGTGCTAATGGTGAATGGCGACTTTCTGCACAGTATCATGACACGAGCGTGTGGCGGCGCCGGCGCTGACCCAGATCCGGCGTGATGACGTTATTACGCCGGATCTGGGTCAGCGCCGCCACACGCTTGCGTCATGATACTGTTGTGAACGAGCGTCCAAAGTGAGGCAGTAGAAACGAAAATGTGGAATAAAGTTGTTATTTTTGTTTTCTTTGTGCAAAAAAGTATTCTCGTAGCTTCGGAACTTTACAGCTGAACCACTGATGTCACACGGACTACTTTGTCGATCATCTTGGTACTTTTCTGGACCTTGAACGTGGTAGTTACCTTGCTGTCTATAGGAGGGTCAGAGAGCCCTCATATTTCATCAAAAATATCTTAAATTGTGTTCCGAAGATGAACGAAGGTCTTACGAGTTTCGAACAACACGAGGGTGAGTAATTAATGACAGAATTTTCATCTTTGGGTGAACTAACCCTTTAAGTGTCATTTTTTAAATACTTGTCATGGCATCATATACTTTTGTTGTTGTCCATGCATTTTTATATGTGTACCTACTAGGCCTATGAGACTAGTCACCAATAGTCTGTTTCAGATTCTAATTGCTTACAGTCTTGGAGATTGTAATATTTCTAACATAGCACAAACATGGCCAGGTTGAATAGGTGAGAGTCTCTCACCCACTCAAGCTCAGTTGAAGTCTCGATTGAGGAAAATGACAGGAGCCACAAGTGTCCACAGGTAGAGCCCCAGACCCAGCCAGCTGGAGCTGATCTTCACCCACACTGCAGGCATAGTGCTCTGCATGGCCTGAGTGGTTATATCAGGTCTGAAGACAGATGTGAGGAAAAGGCAGAAAACATAACAATATTTAGACCTCAGCTAGTATATGGTGCAGTTCTGTTGTATTCTTTGTGACTGAATGAAAGAATGACAAGTACATGCTTCAAAATTCAAAAAAATCAAAATGAAAGAATGTCATACAGGTTTGGAACAATATTATGGTGCATAAATTATAACTATTTTCATTTTTCTGTGGATTATTCCTATAAACTATGATAGGTGAAAGCATTTTAAAATGTAAAACTTCACCTTTAAAAAAAAGTGAACTTTGTGGTTCAATCCAAAATCAAAAAGTGGAAGAATGAGCACTTACTTGTACCAGTTAGTGAGTGTCATCATGATGTAGAGAGAGGCCAGTAAGAGGTGGAAGTGGAAAAAGGAATAGTTGTATGTGACGCCGTCCTCTTCATTATCCACAACACGCCGCAGTCCGTCTTCGCCCACCTCCTCCCCTCCCACAGTGCCCTTCCCTTCCTCTGTCTGCATCAGCCTGTTCACCTGAGCATTACTGGATGAACGGATGCTGAAGAGAGAAAAAACATCACATGGACACTAGCATGAGAATGATGTTTACTTCTCTCAGATTCATATTTAATTGATGATGAGCTAGATTGGAGGTAGAATTTATAGGCAAAATATATAATTTTCTCACACTTGCCAATGGATTGCAAATTAATTGAGGAAATTTGGATGTCAAAGGTTAATACTTTTATTTAGGAAAGACACATTAAATTGATCAAAACAGACAGTAAAGAAAAAAATTTCAAACACAGTATTGCTGTTCTATTAAACTATATCCATCGAAGAACCTCAAAAAAAAGTCCATGATTGGTTTCCAAAAAAATATTAAGCAGCACAACTGTTTTCAACATGAACAGTAATAAACATGTCTTAAGCATAAAATTTGCATATTAGAATAATTTCTGAAGGATCATGTGACACTGAAGACCGGAGTAATGCCTGCTGAAATTCAGCTTCACCATCAAAGAAATAAATGACATTTTAAAATATATATAAAGAAAAAGGTTATTTTACATTGTTACGATATCTCACAATAATACTGTTTTTATTGTGTTTTTGATCAAATAGATACAGCTTTTTTGAACTTTATAGACTCTTTTTTTTTTTTTATAGAAAAAAAAACAAAAAAACTTACCAACCCCAAACTTTTGAAAAGGTGTATATATTAGTACCATTCAAAAGTCTGAATGAAAAGGAATAAAAATCTGATTTGAGAGAAAATTTTAACCTGCAAAAACTTTTGAACTTTTATTTTATTAAAAGCTTTTGGATTTTGGACAATCTAAAGAAATGCTGACGCAAACTGAATACAAATGTTAAAAATTTTAGGAAGCACAATATTTAAGAAGCACAGTTTCTATAACTAATAAAATAACACATTTAATGACACTGAACATGGTAAAGTTACCTTTTAACTAGCGACTCTTACTTGCCAAGGCCAATTTGAACTCACAGTTGCTGCTTGGCAAATATTCATTTTGGACCTTGCCTACAGGTGTCAATATCTGACACCACTAATCAATCAATCAACCCATGCCTATGTGCAGCTGCTTGTGAATGTCGAATTGAAATGTACAATGAATCAGCATAGAAAACACCAGTTAACTACAGCTGCTGATGTAGAAATGTACATGAGATTTTCTTTATGCATTTTAAAAGCAAATACTGACAGTAACAAGAGCTCAATGAAAGAAGAAAAATTCATGTTCAAAATGTTTGTTTTGCTTAATGTACCTGGCATAAAAGGTGCAGAAGAGGAAGATAACCAATCCCACAATGCCTTGAGCATCCCACCACTGCACCATCCCAGGGGAGCTTGTAGGCATGGCCTCAGTTGTGCTGATATTGGACACCAGGCTGAGCAAACTAGGGTTACATTCACGATCTGTGTGTGGAGCCAGACAAATGAAGATTTAAAAGTGAACATACAGAAACATAATATATTACAACTACTACGCCAATTAATCACATACTTCACTACTAAAGACTATGATCACACTTAATAGTCAGCTAATTACATTTTTTAAGCTAATCTAGGCTGCTAATAGGTATACTTAATAGACAATAACAGAATGTGGGGATAGTGAGTTACATTTATAATCTGGATTCTAGCATGCAATTTGGCTTTATTCAGTAACAAGCATCAGGAGACTATAAAAGTTGAGCATCTGGTTTGTATGGCACCACAAAACTCACCAAATATTGCATCAACCTGAGTAGGAACAAAATGAAAGCTCATAAAATGAAAAGAGAGACCAAAGACAGACCGTAAATATTTTCTGAGATTTTTTTTAATGTGTAACTTACTAGGATTGTTGGTCATGGCTGACCAGGTGACGTACATAGTGTACAGAGTTATAATAGAGGACTGAAGCAGACCAGACTGAGGTGAGGCATCCTGAAAACACATACCAAAATAAAGAAATATATTTAATAAAGCACAGATCAGACTTTGTCTACCCTTGTAAGAAATAACCCAATATAAACTGCAGATTTTTATAATGGCTGGCACAGTAAAGAAAGCTGATCTGTTGTGGCAGGCCAGCATTGATATTCTGTATGCAAAGAAGGAAACAAAGAAGTTTCCTTACTAGGACAAAAGCTGGAGGCTAATGTAAACAGTAGATGACCTTCAGTACAACGGAGAGGCTGTTTTCTTATGCACATTATTATAAATCAGCATTCATGTCAGGATGTGTGTGCTGAGGCAATCGGATATTTGGAACAGCTAGTTAAAGGAGTTTTATCATTTCCCGTTTGCTGCTTTACGTTCAAGGTCTTATTGCTGCTTAATATCTTAATATGGAGTTGTTTGGCCTTTTATCAATGTTTTGAAATTGGGTGCAGAGATGAGACGGGAATAAAAAGCACTGCAACCTGCTTTAGCACTTCCCCTTTACCTGCACTTTTGGCAGAATAGAAACCACAGATATGATGACGCAGAGAATAAGGTTGGAGCTGATGAAGAACTTGTGTTCGGCGCAGTTGTCAGGTTTGGTGTAGTAGAGATACAACAGCACGACTGCCGCAAAGGCCAGTGCGTAATGCAGGACAGTGAAGAACAACAGACCTGTGGGCATAGAAAACAGTCTGTTTCTTTCTCTGAAAAGAGCGGATTTGGACACACCTGTTTGCAAACCTATTGTGATGAACAGGGTGTCTTTCAGTGTATCTGCTCTCTACGTACCTGAGAACCAACACTTGCTGTTGCCTTCCTCAGCATTCCTCACCCACACCTCATTCCAGGAGTGGGCAAAGTCGATCAGGAGGATGAGCTGGATCAGGATGAACATGAAGGAGCCCACAATACCAAAGTAGAACCAAACTGTGATTAAAAAAAAAAGAAGAGAAGTTATGCTTCAGTAGCACACTGGTTAAATGTGCTTAACCACAACATAAAATCAAAAACAAGCCTTTTTACTATCTAAATAAATGAGCATCAATGATCTTCAAATGTTTGGGGTAAGATTTATGTTTTTTAAAGAAATCTCTTATGCTCACCATGGCTGCATTTATTTGATTAAGAGTACAGTAAAAATAGTAATACTGTGAAATATTACTTTTTAAAATAACTGGTTTCTATTTTAATGTTTTAAAATGTAATTATTCCTGTGATGACAAAACTGAATTTTCAGCAGCCATTACTCCAGTCTTCAGTCTCACATGATCCTTCAGATATCATTCTAATATGCTGACTTGGTGCTCAATAACCATTTCTTTTTATTATCAATGTTGAAAATAGTTGTACTGCTTACTATTTTGTGAAAACCATGGTACTTTATTTCAGGTCAAAATAACAGCATTTATTTAAAATAGAAATCTTTTGTAAACATTGATCAATTAAAACTATATTTTCTTTAAAAAAACCACACTTTTGAATGGTATTATATGTGTGATTATTATTTTTTCTTTCATCAAAATGTCATAAAAAATCATTTAACAGATGTTAAACGCATTTTAAATGTCATTTCATGTCTTCAATTTGTAGTACACCATCAATTGCCAACAGAGACATTAAGTGTTGAAGCCTTTCAAAGGAGTGTATATCAGTATAATATATTGTATTCAGGAATCGTAATAAAATCTGAACGCAGGAAAAAAAAAAAAGTACACATCTTAACGGGATAGTTCAGCCAAAAATGAAAATGCTGTTATCATTTACACCCCCTCACGTCGTTCCAAACTTTTATGACTTTATTTTTTTTTTCATTAAATCACAAACAAAGATATTTAAAGGGGTCATATGATGCTTTTTTAAAGATCATTATTTTGTGTATTTGGTGTAACAGAATATGTTGACATGCTTTAATGTTCAAAAAACACATTATTTTTCAAATACTGTACATTATTGTAGGTCCTCTATGCCCCGCCTCTCTCAAACGCTTCGTTTTCTACAAAGTCCCTCCTTCCGACAAGCGCAGCCTGCTCTGATTGGCCAGCTGACCCAGTGCATTGTGATTGGCCGAACACCGCAAGCACTCGTCGGAAATGTAACGCCCCTTACCATAAGCGCGAGCTTCAGCTTTCAAAATAAATGTAAAGACAGAGCCCGAAAGGGGAACGGAGTCGCGTGACAGACACAGTGATGAAGCTGGTATGTGTTTGCAGTACACAAGCCACGGTTAAGACAGCTGACTCCACTGTGATGTGACCGTCTCTCTCTCCCTCACACACACACACACACACACGATGCAAAACTCCGCATTTGAACAGTCAATAGCAAATACTTAAACTAATAACAAAACAGTAGCTGATTCAGAAGCGCCAGATTGTCATAGCAAAGTCAGAACTTGAAATCGCATCATATGACCCCTTTAAAAAAAATGTTGTTAATCAAACACTTCTGGTGACAACTGACTTTTACCGTACAGACAGAAAAAAACAACAATGGGACATTTCTCAAAATATCTTCTTTTGTGTTCCACAGAAAAAGGAAAGTCATAGTGGTTTGGAAAGACATGAGGGGGAGCAAATGATGACAGAATTTTAGTTTTTGGGTGAACACTTTAAACTACATTTATAACTAGGTTTAATAAAACATGCATCTCTGAAGGGCCCGTATTTTCATGCTTAAATTCACAATGAAGCATACTAATACCCGTGATCTCAGAACACAATGTTCTGCATCTTTAATTCCACACCATGAGAATTCTGGCAAGACAGTAACAACGCGTTCTCACTGCTAATGTAATATGCAATGAAAAAATAATAACATCCGATTCCACTTTCAATACGGTCTTTTCCCATGCATCTCATAACACTCAAAATAGTCATTAAAAAATAATAGCCTTCTTCACTGCAGGAGACCAGGCGTTTTCTGCATCCCTTGAAATTTAGCCCTGCATTATGACAATGGCTTCCCAGAATAACATTATCATGACTATTGCTGCATTTAGAGCTTAACATCATTGCCATGTTGTCATTGCTTTTATGTATTTCCCAACGTGCATATATGAAAATGGAAATTGTTCTATTATGTGCTGTTAACGGAATAGTTGAACCTAAAATGTACCATCATGAAATGTTCCATCCGGGATGAAAAAGGCTCCGACGGTGATGCCAACAAGTATCAGAAACTTGAAGAACCAGAACCTGACAAAACAGTCAATGATAAAATCAAGCAAATTTCATTTCATTTAGTAAATGATACAATAACAATAGCATAATAATATAACGGTACATAAATAATAAATCAGGGTTACCCATTCTGAAGAGTGGCACGAGGGTCTTTGCTGCTCTTTACACGAATCATAATTGCGGAAAACAGGAAAAAGAAGCATGCCATAGCAAAGCACATGCGGTACACTGATTTGTAGCCTACAATCACGTCGCAGTTAACATGGTTCTCGATTCCTGGTATTGTGGTACCTCCTTGACAAAAGCCAGGAATCTGAAGAGACATTAAATACAGAAAATTAACACAATGCACTGAAAGCACAAGTGAGGCAGATAAAGACTGATGTGGGCCCACCTTGCGGAGCTGCGTCTCCATGCCAGGCAAGATCATGATTACAGACACCAGTGTCCCCAGGAGGAGGAAGAAAGAGAAGACCAGCCGGGTGACGGTGGAGTTATTGGAAGAAGGACAACAGCCACAGAGGAGACATGGAGCGGAGCCACACAAACACGAGGCCTGTAATGTGGAGGGAGTAAGAGAAAGAGCAATTATATCACCAGTTCAAGCATGTATTGTTTAATTGCCATAGTTCACAAAAGAATCTGCAAAACATTATACAATTTAATATATAGTGCACTGAAAAAGATCATTTGGGGGCATAAGACTTTTATATATATA